GCACCCGCCACCTTCCAGATGGCGATGAACGACATCTTAAGGGACATCCTTGAATAATACGTTCTCATATACCTGAATGACGTATTGGTCTACAGTCGTACCTTAGAAGACCATCTCGGGCACCTTCGCAATGTCGTAACGCTTACGCAAGCATGACTTCTATGTGCCGCTTTGCCCATAGCAAAGTGGACTTTCTAGGACACCATGTATCCGACCAGGGTGTCCACACGAACGACACGAAGATCACTGCAATTGCAGAGTGACCCGTCCCCACATCTGCCAAGCAGCTTCACTGTTTCTTTGGCCTCACGAATTACTATAGTAATTTCATCCAAGCATACAACATGTACTTCTACGTCCTTACGTCCACCCTCCTCAAGAAGAACCCGTCGTGGTTTTGGACACCCCTGTGCGGGCCGCCTTTCGCGCCCTCGGACACTTGTACGTCGGTTCTTTGCCTCCCCGATTTTGATCGTTCCTTCATCGTCACCACCGATGCGTCAGATTTTGTAGTAGGAGTTGTACTCTCTCAGGTGTTTCCCTCCTCCGGATTCACCTTATCCACATGTTCCTCCCCCCCCCTCCTTCCTGCCGACACTACTTCCTGACTGATGCCTATCCTCTCACCACTTCCCTCCACTGACAGTCCTCCCGTCACGTTCTCCCCGACCATCGTGGAGGATGGGACTGTCGAGGCTTGTGCTGGGGATTGCCCGATTGCTTTTTACTCCCGTCAACTACTGCCTGCCGAGATAAACTACCTTGTCGATGAACGTGAGGTTCTTGCAGTAGTTTACGCTACCCGGCATTGGCGCCATTATCTGCACGGGGTGCCCTTCACGGTGCGCACGGACAACTCATTTGTCCAGGCTTTCCTCATGAAGCCCAAGCCTTCTCCTCGACAAGCACGTTGGTGGCGTGACTTATCCGAGTTCAGTTTTACCACTCAACCCATAAAGGGTGAAACGAACCGTATCGCTTTTGCCTTGTCCCGTCGTCCTGATCACAATCAGGAACCTATCCATCTTGCCGTTATTTCCATCACCAATATTGATCAGTCGATGATGGACGCATATCGCACTCAGTACCGCGACTGCCCAGATTACCGCGTCATCCATACGACACTTGTACACTGAGGAGTGACAATACTGTTCCCTCATACTCACTCGGTGAGAATGGTCTCGTGTAATGATATGACATATCTGATCAGCTAGAATTACGTATCTGTGTTCCCTCCACCGGACCGCTCCATGTCCAGGTTGTAGCATAATTCCATGACCAGGCAGTTGCCGATCATATGGGCGTGCACAAGACATTGGCTCGTGTTTGCCGCCTATACGCCGGCCGAAGTCCAAGGACTTCGTCAAAGCCTACATCTAGGAGTGTCCTACGTGCCAGGAGATGAACAGTGCGAACCAACTTCCGTATGGGTTACTTCAGCCCCTACCCATACCTGAGGGTCGTTGACAGTCCATCTCGATTGATGTCATTGGCCCCCTTCTCCCTCTCACTGAGCGCGGTCATGATGTTATCTTGGTCGTCGTCGATCGCTTCATGAAGCATGCACGTTTTGTTCCGTGCCGCTATCACATCAGCGCTCGTGAGGTCATCGTCATCGTCTTCGATCAAGTCGTGCGAGATCACGGCTTACCTCAAAGCATCATCTCAGACCATGACCCGTGCTTTACCAGCATATTGTGACGACGCCTACACGAGATGTACGGAGCCCAGCTTCGCTTCTCGTTCTCTTACTACGCTCAGCCGGATGGTCAGACTGAGGTCACAAAAAAAACTTTCGGTAATATCCTCCAAAAGTTTATTAAGGATGACCAGCGGTGAGACTTACACTTAGCCGACGCGGAGATTGCATACAACCACGTCGTTTCGCCATCCACGGGGATGCCGCCATTCTATTGGGGCCTCGACTAACATCCTCGCGTACCCGCGGACTTCCTACGACCATCGCGGTTGTGCCCAGACACTCGTTGTCCTGCACTTGACGACTGGATCGCCCATATGACAACGATTATGAAGTACGCACACGAGAGTCTAGTCGACTCTTAGACTCGCATGACCACACGAGCGAACCGATTACGAATGGATCATCCATTCAAAGTCGGTGACGATATGCTCATCGACGCACGCCACTTGCAGCTCGAAGCGGATACGCTTCGCAAGTTTAGGCGTCTCTTCTTCGGTTCATGTCGCATTCATCTGCTCGTTGGTTATGATATTGCGGCCAGTCCGGTCAGCTTCGTGTGAAGCTATCTGATTATCTTCAACAGACTCACGTACACGATGTCGACTACGTCTTCTTTCTGCGTCCTTATCGCAGATCAACTGAGCGCTTCGCCGAACGTCCTTATGAGCGTCCTCCACCTATCATGGTGGACGATCACGAGGAGTTTGTCGTTTTTGACATCGTATCTCGCCGAGTTACCGACGATACCCCTCCACGCATCGAGTACCTTAAGCGTTGGAAGGGCTATCCTGATGAGGAGGCTACTTAAGAGCCCCTCGAACACTTGCAGCACGTACGGATGTTGGTGCGTGCATATGATCATGCTCGTTATGCTGAGACATCTGCTCCTACTCAACCGGCTGACCCTTTTCCTCCTCCTCGGACTGAGGAGATTTATGAGGACGAGCCCGCTCCTTCTCCCTCTAAGGCCATTCTTCAGCAGCAGATCGACGTCTCCGCGCGTCCACAACGCACTCGTCGACGCCCTCAATGTCTTGACTCTCGACGGTGGACACTCTGATCACCTACTTCTCCCTATTTACTCACACCTTCAGGTACTCCATCATCAACTCTTTAGAATGTCAGCGTTTTACGTGTCGACTTCGACATCGACTCGACTCCTATCTCATCGATGTCATCGACCACTTTGACGACTTCAGCTACTTCGGACGTGAGTACATCACGCCACCACCCTACCCTGTACAATACCTTGCATCTGTCGCATGATGATTTTCACTTAGCTGGGTCTCTTTGAGTGGACTCTCCCTTGGTATCGCATAAGCATTGAGACAATAGCGTTATCTTGACTTCCCCAGACGTTGAGTTGTGTGCGTGTTTCCCTCACCCACTGCCCTCATCACCCTAGTGCCAGCTCTTGCATGCCTTCAGTTAGGCATATCTTCACCCAATTCCAGACTTCCCTTTTCATAGTCGACCCTTTCATGGTGTCACCCTTTTGTCGAGCATTACCCACCTTTATGGTTTATCTGTTAGGGTGATTGGTTTTGTTTCGCAAACACTCTCTCACATTGAGTCTGATGACCTATCTCACCTTTGTGTGTGACTGCCCTTAGGAGTTTCGATTCTTAGGCTGCATTCACCCCCTCTGAAACCATCCCACTCTTAGTGGTTCGGTGACATCACGTCATCTTTTGACATATTGCTATCTTTTCCTTTCAGCTATGAGGCAATTGCCTCCGGGACTTTAGGATTGTATCATGCTACATTTCATTTTCTGCGGATAGTTAGGACGTGTATACTGGACATTTGCTTTTCAGTTGACATTATGTAGCTTAGGCTGCATCTCATGGACTCCGCATGGGGCGTGCTCCGCATCCTAGATTTCTCAACTTTCTTTATTGCAGAGTTCCGCTGCTTTTGCGGATAGCGTGTTTATGGCTCTTGCGATCCATTACAGGCCTGAGGATCGTGCAGCGGGCCTCTATCTGTCGTGGCCTACAGCCAGGTTCTATTCGGCTATTTGCCAGTTCGGCCTGTGGGACCACGCCGTGGCCTGACCCCACAGCCCGTGTACTGTTTCAGTCCAGTCCAGTCCTGCTCGGCACCACTGTCGGTACCAGGCCAGGCCAGTCCAGTCCAGTCTAGTCACTCCGCAGGGGTATACCCCAGCTGCAGTCTGTATTCTGGTTCATTCTGCATTTGCTCACTTTGGAGTACGTGCGTGTTGAGTCTACGTCAAGGCTACGCTGTCCCTTCCAGCTGGACCAGCTCCATCTCCATCTCCTCCTTCCTCAACCCTTCATGTTGATCCTGATGGACCGCCATCCCGGCGGGTCCTTCACACCCAGTGCACCTTCTTTTTTTTTTTCCATGCTGATCTTCTCTGTATCTTTCCATTTTTAACGGATGTCCCGAAGGACAGTGCACTTTCTTTTCTCTTTCGATGAATTTCTCTTTTGCGACACCGGATCCAGTTTCGAGGAGCCTAAGTTGGGTTTGGCCCCAGGACATTCACCGGGTTATTTGTGAGGATTCCAAACCCTGTTATTTTTTCCCATGATTAATATTTTAAAAATTCTAAATTTCCTAAAAAAAAAAGAAAGAAAGAAAAAAAGTGACGAGTTACTTGTAAGGACTTGGTGTCCATCTGTGTCATGCAAACTCGACTTTGCTGTGGAAGTTGTCGCTAAAAACTTTCAAAAAGTCATAATTTGCCATTTGAGAATTCATTGCCATCTTTTGCTGCCGCTGTATGGGATTCACATTAGTTGTCCGTAGTGCGTCCGCCAGGCTACAGTCTTTCCCCAAACAGAACACACCGGGTCCCCCGTAATGCATGTAGACAAGCGATCTTTCCAGTCCACGACAGTCGTTATGAGAGTGAGGGCCGGTTATGTTTGGAGCCTTTGGAGGAAGACTGTAATCCAACTATATAAGTACAAAAAGGCCTGATGATGCCACATCTTCAGAGTTCAGTCCAGGGAATAAAATATGATTAGTGTATGCCAAGCGGACTACGCCTATAATTCATGTTGTTTCCTATGGTTGTTAATGAATTGCATCTCATTCAACGCAAATTGTTGAGGAAGAGCATAAGGGTACTACTGGGACAAGAGGAACCATTCGACCACCATGCAGTGTGTGTGTGTGTGTGTGTGTGTGTGTGTGTGTGTGTGTGTGTGTGTGAGAGAGAGAGAGAGAGAGAGAGAGAGAGAGAGAGAGAGAGAG